ACTAAATATCCATACTCCGGCATCACCTTGGATTGTGATGGACGTATTAGGTGATAGGGAAGGCCAGTGTGTCTAGGAACAGATTTTTAAGATGTTTTATTTTGGCACCTTGCCGTTTACTATAAATTCCTCCTATATTCTCATTTGCTAATCTTACAGTTCCAAACTCTACCTTAACTACCTCCTAAATACTCCTTTCAGTCCCTCTTCCAGCAGAAACCTCTAAGTGTTAAATACTTAATCTAAGTACATGCTCCATTTTTATAAGTACTGTATTTTAAACTACACAGAGATCAGGAACAATTCTTTCTGGGGGGACTCAAAGACAATGCCCAGCTTTTTACGTAACACCCACTACAATTTTATTTTTGAAGCAATCAAATCTTAGGCAAATATTCTGCTTCTTGTTCTAGGCAAGAATGTCTAGCATTCAAGACAAAGCTCATAGGGGATGAAAGATAATATATTAACTTCATTCTGTCTTATTTCAGTACTTCTATTACTTAAAAACACATTCCAAAACCCAGTCTTCTCAGACCTTGCTCAGTAGCAAGGTCTTGGGCGTTAAACTTTTTTTTTTTTTAATCTTACAGAGGACAAAGTACAGACCTGATCTGACTTCCACTGGTTTTCCTTTGTTCTTTTACTCTTTAAATCTTTCTTTGATACTCAGTAGTGAAAAAAATAGTACCACTAGTCTTTAAAACCAATTTTACAAGTAATTTCCCCTAAACAGAAGCAAGATTTTTTCAACTGTCAGACACAGATGAGTGCTGCAGCCACCTGTGCTTGCAGAAAGATCAGGATTGACTAATGTCACAATTAGTTTTCCCTATTCCTGCATTATATACCCAGAATAAGCTTCTCAAAAGAGAACTTCTTATAACTCTAAGAAGACTGCAAATACTACAACCAAAGCGATAATTGCATTTACACATAACTTCCTCTCTCCCAGGATATGAAAGCCTTTCCAAGGAGCCAGACTTTTTGAGGACAGCAACTCAAATGGAGGAACAGCGCAGATGTCATTTATTTCTACACTTGACTTGAAGAAGTAACGTGGAATACTAGCAACTTATTCACTACAAGCAAACAGTTCTACATCATGCCATTTTGAAGGATTTTAGAAAGTTGTGGTTAAAATATATTGTAAACTACAATAAATATTGTAAATATTGTAAACTACTACTTTGCAGGACTGAGAGGATGCCACCTCTCAGTCCGGCAAAACTGATGAGCAATGTAATATGTACTACAGAAGAACAGCTGTGGCTAATCTAACTAACACTAATTAAGTGATCTTTGACCTACTAAGGTAGGTTAGCATAACATACGGCTTAATTATTCATACATTACTACTTGATATGAGTTGTACTGGACCTTGCCCCTATTGTTTGACAGCAGAAATGTAGGTGGAAGTTGTCTCTTTCCCTACTCTAATTTCTACAGTTGACTATTCCATATCACAATTAACACACAAAACAAAGTCTGCATAAGTTAAGTCTGTTCTTGTTATGTTACAGATTTAACAGATATTTGATTTGCTAAAATATGGTGTGTGATTTTTTTTTCATTTGCATTCTATATTTATATTACTTCTTAATGTTGGTCAGCAGTGATACTGAACTATTGTCAGCATGCCAGCAGACATGAAAAAAGAAGTTATTCTGGGAAAGCATGACATAATAGCGTATCTCATTCTGAATTTAAGTATTTATACATACTTAAGGTATACATATTTAAGCTACACTAGGAACAAAGAAGTTTTGCAGGTAAAGTTTACAGTTGTACCTAGAATGCTTACATGATTCACTTGAAAGTGAACAGCAAAACACTGGTCTGCAACATTTACCTTTGCCTTTAAGAGGCTCACAGTCACAACTTCACCTTTCTGAATTCAAGAAGCTGAAGTTCATCTCACCCTAAATAAGACAACATTTTCTGGCATTACATACTAAGGTGAACGAAGGAATTCACACACATAAAACTGAACTATCCCATAGGTTGCTACTACTCTCACACTTTTCTGAGCCAACTTCATGCTGCAGCTACAATACAGTTCTTATCCAGGCTATGCAAATTGCCAGACAAAATCCTTCCCCTTTTGAAGAAGTAAATAAATTTAGGCCAGCCATACTCTCTTAACTTCTCTCCCTCTCAAAGACTCTGAGAAAAAATATAACACAAATTAGAGGGCACACTAGGCCCTGGAGATTTTTTTTTTTTTTTTTATCATTACTGCCTGACGGTTTACCACTTACTATTACATGCCAATACCATGTACCAGCACAAGTATGCTGGAATACATAAGGATTTGGCACAATGACAGTCCTTCCCAAAAGCATGGTATAATTTAAGTTAGCAACAAAGCATTAGGAAATGAATGATACATGAACTAATGAGACTAAATGAGGACGAGGCAATGGTAATAAGTGGATGCTTTTGTCTAGGCGAGTGGTGTAGGCAAGGTAGCTTACTTACCGCCTAGTCTTGATAGGTAGCATTCTGTAAGGCTCCTGGCAAGATTTGCCACACAAGGAAACACGAAGAAAAGAATGACAACCAATGGCAAAAAAAACATCTTCAAAAACAACATTCATGCAGCAGCAGAGCTCTTTTTGAAAGAGCTGAATGGTGGATGTAGAGCATGGAATCTCCAGGCACAAGACAGTAGCAGCACTAAGAACTACGCTGTGGAAGGATTCAAAAGCACAAAACAACACATACACACAGGTGGAACAATCTAGTTGATACACATGGTACTTATTTTAGCAACTACATTTTCTACTAGATTTGAGGAAAAAGAATAGCTTCCTCTTAAGAGGAAGATTACAGCCGTAAAGATAAAGGATGAAGTATCTGGATGACTGAAATACAGAAAGAAACAGGACGACAGATCAGGTCAGAACATCTCAACTCCATTCAACTGCTGAATGTAATTTATCAATCTTCTCCACTTTCCAGTTGTCACTAATCCTGGAGCAGTGCTTGATATGGCCAATACATATGAACACCTCAGATTTTAACACTCTACCTAGCAAAATTAGGTAATCCATCCAGTAGGAATGCATTCTAAATACAATCTTCAGTGTAAGGCTAATGCTCAAGTTTCAGCATACACACCACCCTCAAACTAATAGCGGCACTGCTCCTGTCAAATCCTGCAGATCAACATCAGGAGACCTGCAACAAAACCATGTCATGGGGACAACCCAAGTAAACCTTGCATGAAGGTTTACTGCTTATTATTTTATGTCAGTATCATACACCAGCACAAGTGTGCTGGAACATAAAAAGATTTGGCACAATCTAGAAGGTACAATGAGAGTCCTTTCCAAAAGTATACTATAACTTACATTAGCAACAAAGCATTAGGAAATGAACAATACATGAACTAATGAGACTAAAGGTGGACATAACCCACATTACAGATTTCAGAGGTAGGGAGATGACTTTGGACAAGTTCTAGTCTATTCTACCAACTCAATATTAGCACTTGGAATATACTAAATGTACTTCCAAACTACACTGGGCCTCCACCTACATTTGAAGATGTGCTCCAAGCTGACTGTAATCTAGTGTGTGCTCCTCAACAAAGGGAGAGCAAGGTAAGTGTGGACAGTCAGGAGGTTCTCTTTAAAAGCACACTCCTCATCTGAAGAATCTGAAGTAGATTCTCCCAGAATACCTGTTTGACCTTGTCATTCTTACAAACATCATTACCATACATTAAGCGTGAAAATCTTCCATTATAGTACCAATAATGGTACTATATAGCTCACCACTTTCAAGCCCTTCTATATATATAGCTTTTCACCTTTTTACAGTGCTATTTCACTAACATCAGTAGAGATACTTGAGAAACACCATCCTTCCCTATGAATATGATAGAAGTGTAGCTCTGCCTGGGACCTCACTTCTATTCTCATGGAAGTGACAAAACGTAGCAAATTCTGTAAAGGGCTATGCTACCAATCGCTCGTGTATGTTATATGACAAAGTTACCTAACTTCACAAAGCTCTAAAGATATCGTGTATATGAAAGGAGTTAGGTAAAATAACACTAGACTGTTGCTTAACTGCAGGTATGTTATTACTTAAGTCTGTTGGGCAAGCCCATTTCACCATCAAGATTTAGCACTGGGATTAGGTTATAGCAGCCACACAGCATCTAACTGTACCCCTGTCACACAGCAGGCCTTCTGCACGCGATCAGCGAGCTACATCCCCACACACTCCGAAACCACCAAAGGATGGAGCCGGGAGCACATCCTCGGGCACGCTGTGGTGCCTGAGCAGGGCTGGCAGGAGCACACAGCCCCTGTGCAACCCCCTCGGCGCTACGAGAAGCGGCTACAGGCTGCGGGTGCGGGCTGTCAGCCTGCCCCACCGCCACACGGCCGCGCCTCAGCGACAGCTCGGCCCCACCGCCTGCCCGCTCGGGCCTCCAGGCCGAGGCCGACCCCGGCTCCGACCCCGGCTCTGGCTCCGTCCCCGTCCCCGGCTCCGTCCCGTCCCCCTGGGGCCGCCCCCTCCCCTCTCCTCCTTCCCCGCCCCGCTCACCCGTGCTGCGCGGCCGCCCGCCGCTTGTTGAGCAGGCAGAGCAGCGCGCAGGCGGCGGCCGTGGTGGCGCCGGCGATGGCGGAATGGCGCACGGTGAGGTACTTGCTGTAGGCGGCCATGGCGCGAGTGCAGGCGCGGAGCCCCGCCGAGCCGAGCCGAGCCGAGCCGAGCCGAGCGGGCGCTGGGAATGCCGGGACGAGGGGCGGGCCGCGGGCGGGTTGTGCAACGGGGGCGACTCCGGGCGGCTCCGGCCTCGGGCCCCGCCGCAGCGCCGGGCCGCGGGCAGCGGGGGAAAGGCGAGGGGGAGGCTCCCCGGCCGCCGCCCCGCCCCGCCTCGCCCCGCCGCCGGGGCCGGGCCTCCTCAGGGGCCTCCCGGGGTCCCGGCCGCGCCCAAGTGAAGCTTCCCGAGAGCTTTCCCGGGGGAGTTTTGCCCTGCTGTGTTTCAGGGCCATGCGGGCGGCTGCCGAGGTGGAATTTCTCAAATATTCATATTCCTTTCAAACACGCACGCCAGGAGTAGCAGGGTTGAAGCTGCAGAAACCGTCTCTGTTTCTGCATAGTGAATCACCACATACACTTTTCTTTCTCACTCTCTCTCCGCATCCTTGGTATCATCAGGCATTTGGGGGCAAGTTTATTTTTTGGAGCCGAAACTGGATCCTCAAAACATCAAGGTGTTCACATTTTCTGCAGCACCGGAGTCAGGGCTGTTTAACCTAGTGTTATGGCACTAATTTGTTGTGTAACCTCAAATCGGTAATCTCTCTGTTTTAAAGCATCATTTGTGTTTCGAGGGAAAAATCATAAACTATTTTGCTTTCTGATCCTAAGGAAAATATACAGCAGAATCAAAAAACATTATTAAGCTTATTGCATATCAAGATTTTGCTGTCGATGTTGCTCAGAGTTGGAGGTCCTGTCGTGTTTTCTTAAGCCTTGGATACTTTGGCAGGAGGTAAGTGTAAGAACCTAAAAAGACGGTCGTTTCCTCATCAAATCAAATTTCTTATATTCATATCATTATGAAAATGAAAGTCTACAAATTTGGGGGTTTACTGAATCTTACGGTTTTGCAGCTGCTTTTCATCTCTCTGTGTGTGCTGAGGTCAAAAGCAAGGTGGGATTGTGACCCTTTTCTTTACAAATCCTCTTCTCTCCATAACCAGAGGTTGGTTGCAGCTTGCCACAGAACTAGCAATCTAATATAGTCCAACTTTATTTACATTCAACGTCCATCTATTTGGGCCATGCTGACCTTTGTTGTTTGCTTGTCTGTGTGACTTGTGTTCTGCTATGTTTATCTTCTTCAGCGTCCTTATTTCACTTTTTAAGGCTGCCCAATACCATGTCCTATTACATATTTTTTCTTCTAACTTGTCTTTAAATAATTTTACATATACATATCTTTTTTAAGAAGCTTGTACCGTGTGTCCAGTCCTCTACTGTTTCCTCTACTTTCTCTCTCCACTTTACAGTGTTGCTTTTTGCTGCTTTGTGTACTAGCTTTGTTAGTTATTCCTAATGTAACTGTGCTCTTAGGGTAAAACATGAGGTTTTTATTTATCCATTATTTCATCGATTTAGAGCTACACTCATGCATAAGGATATTCTTGATAAAATCACTCACACTGATCAAATGCTTTTGTGACAGAAGTTCCTTCTTTGTTCTGCAGTTTGAGATCTGCATTTCAATACTTACACATTGCAGCCACTTTCTGTTCTTGGCATTCTTGGTGGAAGGCAACTGTGAGAGTTTTCCAAGGTAGAAAGTAACAACATTAATTAAAATGTATTTCAAATATAAAAGCTAGAGGTGGACAGGTAGCTTGGAAGAAAGCAAAGCAAACAGTACCAGGACTGTCATCTGTATTAATGATGGCACATACAGTTTCTCTGAAGAAGGAAGATCGATTTGATAACTGTGCTTTTGATATGGTCCATGGTATGGTTTAACTTCTCATTGGGTGTGTAAGAACATTCATAGAAAGAAAGCTATTTACACTTAAAATAGCACTATGGAAGACTGAAGTCTGTAGGAAGAAAAAAGCATATTTACTATTAAAGCATAAAACCCAGTAAAGGAAATAAGGAGACCTCATAACAGCAAGTGTTAGGCTATGGTCCTGTGTCTGAAGTGTCAAGCAGCACTATCCACGTAAACACTTCCCAGCCAAGCTGGCTGCTTTTTTCTACACAGGATGACACATTCTCAGTTATGCTGGTTTGTTAGACCAGCTTATGAAATAACTCAGAAAATTAATACCGTGAGACAGAAGAGAGTCAGGGAGTTGATCCAGGTTAAAATACAAGAGCTTTTGACAAGTTTTGCAGTGTAACCCCACTAATACTTGAGTGGGCAAAACATAATGTATTGTGCTTCAATTTCACAATAAGTGAAATGTCTGTGTAATAAATAGTAGTAAAACATTGCTAAACAGTTCAGACTCTCAAATTGTGTCCTCTGTCTATACTGATTTTAGCCTGTTGAATTTCAGGAAGCGTCTCTAAGACAGGAACAGAAGAAACTTGTACAGGGTATTTTATCCCACTAATAATTGTGTGAATACTTTTTTTTTTTTTTAATGTAGTCTGGGTTAACAAATAAGATGCTCTGATTTGGTTTCTCTCAGAACAGGAAGAACCTGTATTATTTGCTGTTGGCACTTGGCGTACAACAACCAACTACATTCTGAGAGCAGCGTATCTAATAATTAAATGAAAATCATGCTGTTTATTGTTGATCCAATGTAACATTAATATTACGGAGAGCAATTTACAAGTGTTGTGAAAGGTGTCAGACGAATTAGATTAATTTATGTAAGTTGAAGAAGCTGTAAGACACAAACTGTACAGTATACATAAGTTAAGTTTGAAAGTAGTTTGTATAGTGCTGGTCTCCATTCTGTAAATCTGTACTTGCTTGATTTCTAAGCCTATATAAATTCAGTAAGATTATTCACTTGTTTGATGTTGAGTACGGCAATATTTGAAAACTTAGTAACTAGCAGAGCAAGAGGGACAGTTCCAGGGATTGTCATGTTGTCTTCTGTCAAACGTGTGTTCTCTCTTACATATATCCAACCATTCTTAGCTTATAGTTTTAGAATTTGGCATGGGTTGCAGGGAAATTAATGATCCACTCCATTTGTGCAGGCACCAGTGTTAAATGATAAGGTTTTGTCAGTTCTACTGAAGTAACATGCCACAGTATTAATTAATTTCTTGCTTAATTTTTAACAGAAGGAAAACACCTCTGAAGCTAAGCTACGTTTAATTAAGTATCAGTGTATGTGTGTGTGGTGAGTGGAGTATTCCAATGACAAGCTCATCAATACAGCTAATACCAACCAGATGGAATCGTTATATGTTCAGTTACACAGCTTGAAACTCCAGTGTGGGTGAAGCAATGTGGATATGCTACCAGCCACTCAAAAATCAAGCCTCCACCTCCGTGAAATATATGCTGATTATACCATGAGTTTGATCTGTGGTTTGAGTGGGGCCTCAGTTTTTGCCTTGAAGAATAATCCCATTGATCTGAATGCTGGAAGAAGACCAAGAAAGGGATGAAATGAATGCAATCAAGATGAGGCAAAATTGAGACCGGAAAAAATAATAAAGGACTTGACAAGAAATTGGTGAAGAAGGGCTGTAGAATCTGGAGTGTCTTAGCGAGAGAGTATGTAGGACAGGCAACTGAGACATCTTGGTCAGGAAGCCAGTGGAAGAAGGAGACCAGTTGAGCAAGGAGATTAGAGGGGCTGACCAATGATTCTGGTATTGGGAAGGAATCAAATGGTTGAGCAAGACCACACTGGATGTGCGTTGCAAAACAGAAGGGTGACACTGAGCTAGTGAGGTAAACAGAAAGGAGGGATTTAGAATTGACTGACTGGAGAGGAAAAAGGTTGAAAAAAGGTACTTAAATCTGATGAGCTATGATATGGAACTGTCTAGACCTAGGAACCTGTGGTACCTGAGCTAGCAATTTATGGTGGAGGAGATGTGGGTCCCTTCCAGGACCCAGGGATATCCTGTGAGTCTATGAGCGTAGGTGAAACCCTTGACAGAAATTTGCATTTTCTCATTTTAAGGACAGCATGAGATATCAGAGATACATTTACAGAAGCATTCTGTGCTACCAAGTAGTTGCAGTTAAGTGGAGCTTGCTATAAACATAGTAATTCTTAAAGTACTTAGCATTTAATAACATTTTTAAATTTTGCATAGTATTTGGATGGTGTTCATTAATGTCTAGAGCTAGATACTGATTACAAGTGAATTCAATATTACAAATGAATACTAAATAACTGTCTGTTCACCAAATGAAGCAGCAATAACAGGCAAATATGGATAACCAATGATTTGTCAAGTGACAGGAAAATAGAGAATTCAATGGAACTGTACAGAAAGTACAAAAATGATGGATTTTTGAATTTGATTGAGGAGACCAAGAGAGACTTCAGTGTTGGTTAAAGACCATAAAATTGTGAAAAATGGGACTGGAAGGTACCTTTAGGACCATCCGGATTGACTTCAGCAAAGATGGTATAGAAAGAGAGGAATGAAAAAGGCCAGGGAAATAAAGTTATTAACATGGAAACCCTCTTAGTTGAATGGGACAGGCAGGAAGAAATATGTTCTTAATATATTGTGGAACAGGTAATAAATGTGTAATGTAGTGAGGAAAAATCAGAAATGTGAAACAATTATTCTTTTCTTAAATAAGTACGGGATCAAAAACAGTAGATGCAGAAAGTGGATCCACAAGGAATGTGAAGAAAATAGTAAACTGTTAAATATAAAGTTCCTCTCCGTGAAGACACGTAGAAAGAGTGCTGGTGTTCTTTAAAAAAGGGACATGACTACTAGATGTTACTACTATTACATATCACTACCAACATCTGCTACTAATAGTGTTTATTACTTATTTATATTATATATTGGTACTAGCAGTAGTTCTGTGATGATACTGGCATTATATTTAATGACAGATGACTGGGATAAGTCATTTAGATTACTAGTGCCCAAGACGATGCTTGCAGTTAAACATGTTTTCACTTGTTCAGCATGCTTACACAGCTTTCTAGTATAGCTCATGTCCACAGGAAATTAAAATTTGGAACTGAATTCCTCAGGGAATATAATGTAGAAAACTGTCAAAATGCATTACCCTTCAGGACTTCTGCCCTCATACTATATAGGCCAGTGCTTTACATGTTTTAGAAAAAAATGGTGAAAATCTCTGTAGGTATGTAAATATACACAGGTGTATGTATACAAATGCCCTTTTTTTTAACTTTATTGGTACAGAAAAAATCTTTCATACAAAAAAAAAAAAAAAGTTTTATCCTATTCCAGCAGAAGGAAAAAAATTCATATTACTCTTCCGCCTTAAGGCATAAAGTTGTATGCTTAACCAACGTGAGAAAATTCTCTGTTCCTTCCTACGTAGAGCTACACCCTAAGCCACAGCTGAAAGCTCATCCTACCTGCCTGCCAGCTAGGGCAGAGTTTATAGGGTAGGGCAGGATTCTTTGCTCCAGCTCAGCAAGACTGAACCCACACAGTCCATCTGAATGCCGAATATATAAATAGAAAATACACAGTTTAACTATTAAGTAAATCATCATCCAAATTACATCATTGCAAGTCAAATGTCATTGCCCTCTTATCTGAAGATGAGAGTGAGCTTTTACCACAAGTAAAGGCAAGTTTGTATGTTATTATCCCAGATTTGTTAATGCACTACCCTACACACCCTATTTGATCTCACAGTAACTTGTTGGGAATAGCATAAACAGGCAGTAAAAACAAGCAATACTATGTACGGACCAAACCTTTATTAGTTGCCAACATTAACTAAGCAAAAAGAAAAAACTTAATCCTCTTAGTTCTTTTCCTGAACTTAGTTGTGCCATACATTTGTCCTTGGGGAACACCTGTCCCCTCCCTAATCTTTAAGCGTATTAGATTTTCCAGGTCTGAAACTGTAAATCAGGCTTGACTCATGTGACTGCCTGAGTAAATCAGAAGCAGAACAGTTATGTTGTCTGCTTGTATTGAAATACCTTTCAATACAAAAAGCCCTACAGTCGTGGGAAGAGAAAGATTAATGAAAACGTTAAAAGCAGGCAAAAGATCGAGACACAAGTTCTGAGGATCCCTTGTAAGCACGTTTTGCAGAGGTTACTTCAGACACCATTTAAATTGCTGTTTCTCAGATGGATGTTCAGTAGCCTCATCTGTGCCACTGTACATTAAAGCAATAGCTCTGCTTACTGGTGGATCTTTACTTCTTCAGAAACATACATCTTTATTTTTTCCTTCTCATTAAGGAAAATCAGAAGCTTCTGTTAGTAACAGAAATAAGGCTTTGGTAGCAGTGTAGCACAACCACTGTCTGTTCTCCTGCTCCTGCTGGGAAGACAGTATCTGGAAAAGATTGAATACCCAAATAAAGTAGGATTTTATAGAAAAGGGAGCACTGTGACTTCTGACTTGGATAAAGAAGGGATACAAGTTAATAAATGAAATCTCAGAAGGACAAGAAAGGTTAAAACAAGCAATAAAGGTCTAGGGAAAGAGGAAACAGAAAAGAGGGGAGGGTTCCTACAAACATAGTTTAAATTTAGCAGTCATTCCCTAGAAATTCCAGAGGTGGATAATACGACCTCCCAATCACAGTAGCAAGCCATAGATGCCAAGTTTATTCAGTTGTGGTTACAGAAGCAGTACTTCACCCGTTCCATAAAATTTAATTCATCTTCTCAAACTTTTGGATAATAATCTAAACTTGAAGGTTCTTCTGCAAATGTTCTAGACTTGTCATCTTCCTTTTGAATGCAAAGTGCAATCTCACAATGACCACAGCATTAGCATTTTAGGGATACTGTCGCTTGTACTCTCAGAAGTTGCAAGAGAACTCATAGGAAATAGAAGTTGAACAAGTGTGAGAATAAGGGTTAAAATGCTCTAAAGTTTGCTTTAAATCTACAGAGCTTCCTCCAAGCGCATGAAATATTTTGACTAACACCCAACCTAAACCTGGACCCGGGAGTGATGGTGGACAGTCGGCTGAATATGAGCCAGCAGTGTGCTCAGGTGGCCAAGAAGGCCAACGGCATCCTGGCTTGTATCAGAAGCAGTGTGACCAGCAGGGCTAGGGAGGTGATCGTCCCCCTGTACTCGGCTCTGGTGAGGCCGCACCTCGAGTACTGTGTTCAGTTTTGGGCCCCTCGCTACAAGAAGGACATCGAGGTGCTTGAGCGGGTCCAAAGAAGGGCGACGAAGCTGGTGAGGGGCCTGGAGAGCAAGTCCTATGAGGAGCGGCTGAAGGAGCTGGGGTTGTTCAGCCTGGAGAAAAGGAGGCTCAGGGGTGACCTTATCACTCTCTACAGATACCTCAAAGGAGGCTGTAGAGAGGTGGGGGTTGGCCTGTTCTCCCACGTGCCTGGTGACAGGGTGAGGGGGAATGGGCTAAAGTTGCGCCAGGGGAGTTTTAGGTTAGATGTTAGGAAGAGCTTCTTTACTGAAAGGGTTGTGAGGCATTGGAACAGGCTGCCCAGGGAGGTGGTGGAGTCACCATCCCTGGAGGTCTTTAAAAGACGTTTAGATGTAGAGCTTAGGGATATGGTTTAGTGGGGACTGTTAGTGTTAGGTTAGAGGTTGGACTCGATGATCTTGAGGTCTCTTCCAACCTAGAAATTCTGTGATTCTGTGATTAAACACAGTAGCTCAGGATTTCTTCCCAGATGCTAATTAATTAATTAAGAGTTGGACTTGATGATCCTTAAGGGTCCCTTCCAACTCAGGATATTCTATGATTCTATGATTCTATGATAATAAAAATTGAGTTCTGAAAAAGAACTCAAAGATTGGATACATGGTAATGAATTCTTGGGTTTGGGAAGTGAAACTAGCTCTTCAAAGACTTGCTTTGATTGTAGGTTTTGTTTGTTTGCTTTCTCAAGGTAGTAGTAATGCAAGTAAGAACTCAGATGTAGCACAAAACTTTTAGTCAACCTCTGCCATAGAAAAAGAAAATTCTTCTATGCCTGTGACTATTAACTCAATTCCCTTTCTGGTATAGATATCTTACTTAACTACATTCTTAACTTTTGAAGGTTGCATTCAGAATCTTCCTAGCAGCTCTAATAAATTAACGTGTCCAACCAGTCTTTGGGAAACACCTGATCCGCCACAGGTAAAGCTGGGCCGACAGCTTGTGGAAGCCTCAATAACATTTCCTGAAGGACAGTTTGTTCAAAACTAACACTGGAGAGCTCAGTGCTATACACGACACCATGCTGCGTGCCTCTGTGTTTCTTTGCAGAGTCTTGCTAGTCAATTAAGGGCTAAAATACAAATATTACAAAAATCTCGTAGCTTTCTTCTAGGCTGGATTCACCATTCAAAAATGATTCAGTACCTTATCATTATCATTTTTATTTAACCAATTTCCTGCCTGTATTATAATCCATTATAAAAATTACCAGCTTTACAAGCTTGATAAAAAAATTCTGAGCGTCACATAATGTGTTTTTTAACATTCACTTGGACGGTGTATATAACACTGCTTTTGTCTAGAAAATCCATTTTTTTTTCTGGGGGAAAAATGTCCAATACACTCTTGCTACTTTAACAGCTGGTTATTCACCACTTCACTGTTATTGCACACACCTTGGGGCAAATTCAGGGCCCTGTGAGACATGTAATACAGTTACTGTATTCCCTGATCTCCCGTAGTGCCACCCTGGCTTTATACTCATTTGAAATATTTCCCACGGAACTGATCCAACAGCCTTCGTATTCTCGTTTGTTGCAGAATTTGGGGATGAAGATTTTCAACCCATGCAAGCTGTGTTTTGTTTTGTTTTTTTCCTTCTTCAAACACATGCCATATTGCTGTATTCTTTCTGTTAATCACACTGGCCTTGTTTGAGGAGTGTATTTAAACCCATTTTAGGATTGTAGGGAAAGCTCCCCCCCCCCTTCAAAGCACTTCACTATGGATAATCTGGACCTTGGCTACAGTACCCAGCATCATAGCCTGAGACATGTTGTCTTGTTGTCAAGAGACAGACATGAAACATGAAACGTGAGCCCTAAGCTATCCTCTGTGCACCGCTGTTAGCGCTGAGTCCCCGGCAGAGCCCAGCAGCCCGGAGTCGTGCAGCCAGGAGCGTGCCACGGGATGGCGCCAGCAGCCTGGCTTTGCGGATCACTCGGCGGTCACTGCATCAACTGGATGAGAGAGCAACACACGCAAACATTATACACTTCATGGAGGGCAATATCTGCATTTGCTGTAATCTTGACAGGTAATTTACATCCTAAAGCTGGGTTAGTTATTTTCTTGGTCTGTATTCATTTCCTCTTCATCCCCAGATCTCATGCACATGTTAGAGGTAGCTCTGTGGACCAACAGTGAAAGCGAACATCTGCATGCTAAGGGCTTATTGCTGTTGAAACACAGTAGACTTCTTTGCCATCATAACTTCGATTTTATGTTTTTTGTAAAATAGTGCAGAAATAATATGAATAGTGTAACTACTAAGCTAGTAGTCTACAGATCTCTTCATTTTCCTTGAATTTATCAATGGTGTATTTGAACAGCATATTCCTTCTGCTGTCATTATAGCTCAACCACTCTAAGTCACTGTTGGCATACTTTGGGTAGTGTTTTAGTACTTCGGGGACTAGCAAAGATGTATACTTGTAAGACCACCTGAGAAACAGGTATATTCCATTTCTGTGGTATACTGATTTATTTTTTTTTTATACACAAAGAAAAGTGTTCTGCAGAATTCCTACGTAACTGAAATAGTTGATGTAAATATTCAGGGAGTGATCTGTAAAATAAAACTAAAGTGACTGAGATTGTCAAATGCTTTTTGGTTTTGGTCACAGACCTTAACCTTCTGAGGTTAACAAAGTGATACCATTAATTTCACTCTACCAGGAGCCCTGCAGTTATTGAAGGCCCCTCTGTTATTTCAGATTCATTTTGAAATTAATTACATGAACTGACAAGACTACCAGCATCTCTGAACATGGCTCAAAGTACAGAGTTGTTGATATAGAATATACACAACATATGATAACTATATGCAGTTTTCAGAAAGTAATACCTGTTTCTTTATTAATAGGAATTCAAAGCTCTAATTTATGTAAATTTTCAGTCTAATTTAGATTAACACTTGGGGGTAAGTCAGGATGGCACTGGTGAAACAGATGCCATTCTTTTTTTCATTCCCCTCTGTACTTGTCTTACAAGTATGCAATTCTTTAATTTTGTTGACAGAAGTCTTAAATTAAGCCATTATTCTACTAGATTTTTCTACTGTTATAATATTATTTGTATAATAATTTCTACATTTATGAGATTTATCAACCAGTAAACATGAGTAAAAATAGTACTGTTAATGTTCTCACTCTATTACTTATCATCCCAGTTACAGCAGTGCACATTTTTACTCTTTTCAGAATCATGTTTACCACAATTTTCAAGTCTTAGATGCCTTCTGGTCTCTTTTACTGTATTTTCATTTCTGCTATGGACATATGAAAAAAGAGCCATTGCTGCTCTATATTGAAACTTATTTTGGCTATCTAGCCAATGCTTTGCTAGCATGTTGTAGGGGAACTTCTGCTGCCTCACCAAAACTGTCAAAACATTTTCTAGGCAACAACTGTTTTCAGTTATATTCTTAAGACTTTACCTGTAACAATAAGAACATTTATCATCTGCTTGGAACAAAATCAGGCAACACGAGTGGGGTATTAGCTTATAAAATGCCTCAGAAATGGTGGTAGGAACGGGACAAGTACATAACAGTGACAAATTAGTTCTCTGAGTTTGTATACTCTAAAAATTTTTATTTTCCTAGTTTGATTGCTTAGTTGATTGTTTGGGAAAAAGTATAAACTTGTTACTGACCTGTCTTGTGTTGATCATGGGACTCCTCTTGTTATTCTGTGCAAATTATATCAGTAGCTACAGAAACATCCAGACTGCTAGTTGATAATATTCTAGGGACAAGAATTACGTTGTCTTAAACTGCCTGAACAGCTTTGAAAGATTCCATTGCCTTATAGAATAATATTGCATGACTGATCAGGAATTGTAACTGAAATTTTCCTCTTTCATCACAAGTGAAAGCAAACCAGCAGCATTCCCTTCTCCATACAGGTCTTTCATTGTAAAGGAAGCAATTAAAACTTGCACTCATAACCACAAATTATTACAATAAACAATTCTTCTTCTTCCACACATCTGTTCTAAGCCTTTAGTGAGGAATTGTGTATGACTCCTCTAGACTCAAATTTTTGTAGTCACAATTCCATCCAGGAAACTTGTAAATCTTCAGATGGAAATGAACACATGAAACTGGCTATGACCATGGGACTGGGTGCATAACCCACTTTCATCAGCAAGATCGTGGTGCCTTACTTGATTGGTGTTATATTAACTGTCAAGCAGTGGCCTCCAGGTGAAGACAATTAAGCTATCCTACCAGATCTGGAATGTGTTGGGAGCAATCCACTGACTACTTATAAAGGAAGGAAGGAAGGAATGTGTCCTGCTTTTCCTTGTTAGGGCTTGCTGCCACCCTAGGGATAAGAGAATTGTTTATTTTCTTCTTGAAGAGAAAAAAAAAAAAAAAGGGTTTTATGTTCCACCTGAAGCAGGTGATCTGAACAGCTTAACCCTTTCCTGCTGTGTATGATATATTCAACAGTAGCCTTTTTTTTAAATAAAATAAAAATAAAATATATATATATATTTGTAGGAGTATAAAGCAGGAAAATTCTGATTTAATGTACCACCTACCTGTAAGTTTCTCTGTCCCTGCTGGAGGCTGCAGGGAATCAGTAGTTCCCACTGGGAGGGGGAGGAATCTGCTTTGCATCCCCAGTGCGCAGGCAGTCACACAAGTCCAGAGCAGTAGCAGATTCTCCCATATTTGGTAACACTGTTACACGCTGAAAATTGAAAACAGAACTTCACAAAAGGAAAAAAGTTATCAATGGAATTTTAACTAAAGCCCTGTGTATTCTGGCACCACGCTAAGCCACACAGAGCATACAAGATGTGCTATAATGCATTTGGGGAACGTCCTCAAAAGGTCATTTTGATGTGCAGGGTCATGTGCTGTTATTTCCTTCTCCTTACTGATTTGTTTCACTCGTTGCACAACGGCACTGATGGAGATCCCAATTCCTGCAGCTTGTTCTGATAGACTCTGTCCCCACAGATCAGGTTTTGTGGCAGACACCAGATTCAGAAACTCAGGCTGAATTTCAGTACAAAGCCGTGATTCTCAAATGTCAAATAAATAAATAAATAAATAAATAAATAAATAAAATAAAATAGCACAAGTCTAGTTTTCGAAGCTGTGGAACTCCCTGCTACAGAATTCTGGAGTTGCTAAAAGTTTACATGGTTTTAAGAGAGAACTGCACAAGTTAACAGAGGAGGAATTCACTGAAAAATACTGAATATACAGAAATAATGCCAGGAAGCCTCTTAGCTGCAAATGGCTGGAAGCTCAGGGAAGGTGTTATACATTCCTGTCCAGTGCACATCTTCCTTAGGCATCCATTCATGGGCATTATGAGGAACAGGATCTTACCCAGCCTGCTCGTTCTTATGTTCTTCTTTGGAAGCATTACCTCTCTCCAGAGTTATTTCCACGTGCATTTTACGTTCACGTTACATTTTTATTCTTGAGAACTCCTTATTTGAGAGACAAGGTACCAGAGATGATATAAAGACATACTAGTGAGACTAACCTGTACCCCAGTAAGTTTCCTGCACTGAGTCTTTGAGGTGCCACACTTGGATTTTGGCAAGTTACGTGAAGAACCTGCTCTATAACAATGGTGCCTTTCACTATTACTTCCTACAGTGTGGTAAGCTACATTATTTAAAAATACAGTACACCAGCTTTTTAAGTGTAAGGGAAAAATATTGACATCAATTATTAGTCTCCTTTTGAGACACTAACTGTATATATATTTATATTCTGAGTGTATTATATATGTCTGAAGACAAGATAGCTGTTGCTTACACAGCACACAAGACCATAAAGAGGCAGTACATATTTCTTCCTTTTATTTCCTTTCCAACTTCTCCTCAAGTCTGAAGATTTTGGTTCTCTGTCTGATTTTAAACACAGTTATCAATTTTCCACGTATCTTCCACCTTTGAAGTCTTTTCATATTATCTTTGAGGATTTTCTCATGGATTTCTGGCTTCCAGCCCTTGCAGCAGCATTCCCTGACATACCTTTTGATGTTTTTGTAAGTCACTGACATACAGCTTTTACCTGCCAACAGACTTCAAAGCCTGTAACGTTTGGCAGTCAAGCCTGTCTCAGAGCTTTTTTCTGGTTGGAAGAAGTTATTGAAATTAAGTGGTAAATCCTCCATCAGCACTGCAGTCACATTCCTACCCTAGAGAAAATTGCCAGCGTTGTTTTCTTGACTATATGCTGCTTCATGGCTAAACCTTGATTTGGTGGCTGGGGAGGATGGTCTCCAAAAGCACTCCACAAAATGGTATCAGGGTGGCAAGGAAGAAACCAGCCTTGGTTTGTGGCCTGCCCTCAGTAAAGACCTCTGGCTCTAGAACGGAATTTTCTTCTCCATAGGCTTGGACCTACTCAGGTGTCTCTTCCAGAGCAGCTACCAGCAGTGTCCATCAGAGCAAAAGGTCTCCATCTACAGTCCTGAGGGGAGGTGCTAAGGTACTGGGCTACCATACCAAGATGAGAGTAGTAGTACAAACCTCAGCCCTCACCTCTGCCCCGAGAGTTCTCTTGTGGTTCCCAAGATACCTCTTGTATTCTTCATGGAAATAAGTTCCTGGTTTTCAAATAGCTCCTTTTAACCAAGCAGCTTCTCTCAGTTCCTTGAAAAATGTGTTCATTTTTCAGAGGGGGAACCTCTGCCACTTGGAAGCTAGTTTAGGTTCTCCAATATTCCTCAGGTTTTATGGTCACCTCAAGAAGGGGCTGATAGAACCTGCCACTGAAACTCCACGTTCAACAGCAGCCCTTGTCATGTAGGCCTGACATGGTAAAGGCTCCTGACGGAGCCACCCCATCATACATGGGGACCACCACCTTCCTGAGCCATGGGGCAAGCTGGGGTACTTGCGGTGACGCTCCTCATGCATTCCTAGCAAGACAAGTTAATTCACAATGGAAAGCTGAGGGGGGGCTCTCTGGTCAGTGTGTTCTGCTACAGCTCAGGTGACATCAGTGGCATTTCTGTTTACTGGATTTGCAAACAGTGTAGATTTCTCACTGATGCTGTTAGCAAGCACAACTCCATAAAGCTAATGTGCCAATGAGCCAGTAATGACTTGGACATAAACAACTGGAGTTTTAGTTATTTTCATTCAGTATTGCAATTTTCTTTTTATCTGAATAATACATAACTCAGTATATCTCATTAGGGATGCAGATTTATAAGATAATATTTGATTAAACCAAGCTCTTTCTTAATAGCTATGCAATAAATGGCAGCCAGTTATGGCTTCTATCAGAATAAAAGTGTTAAAATGCAGTGGTTTTCAGTGTAGCTAATTGTGCTCTGTATTCTTACGCCGTATAGATAATCAAAAGTACTGGAGCTTTACATATTTCCTTTGTTGACCTTTAACCAACAAATATCATGCTGGATTCTTTTATCTAGGCAAGATGACAGTAATAGATCAGTCGTACTACCTTATCACATAAGCCTTCTGTGATCAGTATGGTGCTTTAAAATATATACTGCTCTATTAGATAGAGATGTATTCTCTAATATATATGTCTAAAATAATGGTCCTGATTTTGTGCATATGGTTCAGTAAGAAGTTTCTCAAAGAGCAGAAAACCTGTTCTTCATCACACAGTAGAATGTTAAATAATAGTAAATAACATGTCATTTAAACAAAGGCCAAAGTGTGGCTCACAGATGTTATTCAAATCCTATATTACAACAGCATCTGCTGTCTTACAGCGATTGAGATTCACAGTTACTATTTAAAGCAACAACAGGAAACAAAACACAACAGCCAAACCACTGCTGATGTTGGATTAGCAACTTTTGGGCCAAGTCCAGTGAGAGAGTGATGGGCTGTAACATTCAGTGTCCTAGCCTGTGACCTGCAAAGAATTATGTACTGGTACCTACACTCCCTGTATTGTGCCCAAGAAGAATTAGGAGCCTCATTAAACAACAACTGAACAACCTGTGCCTTGAGAAAAGAGCCACTAAGGTCAACAGAAAAACACCTTCAGAAATTTAGGTGCTGCATGTAGCCTGCAGGGAAGTTCACATCTGGGGTCCACAAATATTTACAAAAATTTCATCAAAAATGGACTGGAGTTCACTATTTTTACTGTACCAGGAATTAGAACACTCAAGGATATTTAAGAGATATTTATTAACTTGCTTACCCTTAGATCACACATACCTACATCTTTTCAACTTACATTTATTTGTAGCAGATCTGTTCACCAGCAACTGCAACTGTTCACATGCAACTGCATGTCATGTCTTTTCTTACCCTCTATTCATAATTGTATTACTTAAGTGAAGATGCAATACTTTGGATTAAAGGAAGGACTTACTGATAGGTGGAAAACCTCAGTACCTGGCCCCAGGATAGAATGATGATAATGTAAAACAGAAACGTTAGAGTAGCAAATCCTCTCCCCAAAGCTTTGTCTGAAGTTCATATTCACGATTGAGACATTCATAATTATCATTAACAGAAGCAAACAGACTTTTTAGATGAGGAATACTATTGACAACTTAGGTGAAGCGCTCAGCGGGACTAAGAGCAGAGCTCTCTCCTGAGCCTCACCTTTGTTAGTAATCTGGACCCTACTTATATACTACAGAAATGCAATTGGTCTTAGCAAATTCAGATTAACATCCCGAGGCAAGAGAAAAGGGCAATAGCATTGTACTTTCAAAAACCTATGAACACACTGTGATCACTTTAACAACTTCATTAAACAATATCATAGCCTCTAGCACGTGTACTCATCAGTGTTCAATGAAGTAGGATAACATTTAAAGACCTAAATTAATGCAAGTGATTAAAACTACTGCATCACAAAGCAGACTATTACTTGATTTGGTAAGAGGACATTAGAAAGAACTTGCCTAAGATATTCAAGCTATAAATTCCAGAATGAAAAATGCTGAATGAGCTCCTTATATGAAAAAAAAATACTTCCTTTAGTAAAATGCAAGCAGGATATGGAATTCAGTGAAATCTTTACATCAGCCATACATTATAGCTGGATTATTTTTTGTAGTGTTATTAATACTACAGTCAGATGTTGCCTCTAGTTATAAAACTAAATTATCAGATAGATCTACTCTAGCATAGAGATTCACTATTTATGAGCCATGGTAAGGGTAAAATATACCTTGCTCTGTAATGATGGTAATAACCTATATTCTCCAGTCCTTTTCTGAAGTATCAGACGCTGGTCATGCACATCAGATGCTATCATGCACAGCAGAACACTGTTCTTCGCCCTCCCTGCTGCCTCCACCCCCATATCCAAGCAGTCCCCCAGCCAGGGTTTCAGGCAGTGTTACAATGGCACACACAGTCACCCTACTTCAAGTTCACCACAAATAGGTCAATTGTCCCTACTAGCCAACATCCACCAACTTTATTTTTCAACACTTCTCATTAAACAAAGTTAATCTGTATTCTTACAATCATACTTATATTAACATACATTGTTACAAGGTCACTAAATGCAGTAGTGTAAGACTTTTTTTTTTTGCCTGCATAACTGCAAGCTGCTAGGAATAGTTTTGGTTTAATATAGCTCTGGAAGTATTAACCTCTTAATCATATCATGCATTTGATTGTTATTTAAGGACCTTACCTGGTTTCCTAACACGCAATATACCATTCTCTCTTGCAAATAAGTACTTTTAATTAATCTCTGAAAGCTTGCTTTAAGCCTTGTTGCACAGCATTTTTCTTACATCTCCTTTTTCTCTAGCAACAGTTATGAAACCATAAAGGATTTTGGGTTTTGTTTGCCACATTTGAAATCACTTACTGTTGTGTAAGGAGTTATGCAAATAGAGGGAAAAAAATGTTTCTATCCATATATGCTTTTCTGTTGTTTTCATCTGATTTACCAAACATTTATGCTACCAAAAACTTTCAGGAGTGTACAAAGGAATTCTTGTTTTGCTGTTGAGAGTAGTGATGGTTGGTGATTTCAGGGTGATTTTAGCATACTCCAGAGCAGTGAAAAACAGCCTGGGGGTGCCAGGCAGGGATGCCAGGAGCTCCCACACACCCTGCCAGACCTAGCATCCTGAGCAGCATCAGAAGCCACCTAACACAGCCTCTGTATCTCTTAATTTATTTCGAACTCTGAATTCGAAACACAAGGCCAGCAGAAGCTCCCCCACAAGACAAACCCAGCAGCTTGCTGCACCACCTCCTGCTTGCTGTACTGCCTCTTTCTCAGCCAGGAGGCAATAACCCTGCAACCCAGAGCATACCAAGCCAACAGCCTGACTAAGAGCCTTTAGCAAGATACCACCTACAAGCAGTTCCCAGCCAAACCCCTGTTCTCTCCTACCCCTTAATTGTTGGGCTTTGTCTCCCTTAAATCCAGCTGGTACCAGTACAGCAGGTGGGGCTAAGGGAGCAGGGTGGTTAGCTTCAGGCCTCCTGGCTCTGCGAGCAATAGGTCGCTGTGCCGTAATTAGAGTTGGTTAATAGCGCGTTTGGCAAGCCAGGAAGGTTCTGGAAGTTGTTTCCTTCATGCAGTCTTTCCTCTCATTCCTCACCACCCACTATCCTTGACAATTGCTAGTTAAGGTGGAAGTTTTTAAGACATGGCTTGTTAAAAGTTAGGAAACGGGGTGCTGCCCATGCCAGCAGCGATCTTTTTCCCCTGAAGGATTAGCAAATTGAGCTGTCCTGTGTCCAGCTGCAACTCCCCCATCACACTTCCAGCCTTGCATCATTTTTGAGGAATAGCTTACGACAGTATGCAGATCATCCTGAGCAGGGCAGGATGTTGTACAAAAAGAGGAAAGACTAGAGAAAGAGTTTGAAATTAGACCAACTGATATAAGTGAAAAGAAAAGCCCACCAGTTTGGGGGCATTGGGTTTGACATGGAGGCAGTGAAAGGTCAAAACTATATAAAGCTGAGAAGAACTGCTCTACATTAAACCATATATATATCAACTAGGTTATCTGAGAGAGAAAAGCCAGTAATTGTGAAAAAGGAGAGCTTAGTGGAGAAGAAGACTATTCACAGGGGGTGAGGTGATTGAGTGATTATCTCCTGATTATCTTGGAGGGGAATTATAATCAGCCCTTACACCGAATATGTGTTTTTTAATACCTGCTAGAGCTGTGACTTTCACTTCCTGTACTCGTCTTTTGAAGTGTTTTGTGGTCTGCCTTGAAGATCAGGACTGAGCAGGGAGGGACGGCACAATGCCTTGGTGCGAGGCCTGTGTCTGCAGGTGATGGGGGTTTCTGTTCCCCATCAGTTGGCCCTGCGAGTTCATTCCAGTGCACAGTGGCTGCCTAAGTTTCACCCACATAGTTTCCCTGAGGGCATTTGGTGCACTGCTTGAAATATGCTTCATTCGAGGAAGTGCATGTGGATCTGGGTATCTCAGGGGTTCTCAGGTAGGCGGTGTTTATTACAGTCGAAGGGGAGATCTCATGAGAGTAAAAAACACTTTTCCAAGCCAGCAGTAGGTGTAACGGTGGAGGAATAATTTTCTGGGTTTTCTCGTCGGGTAGGGTAATTTTGTACAAAGAATTTTCAGTTTTGTGTTCTAGCTGTTCTTATTTGACTGTTTGTTAAAGCTTATAACGTAGCTATGGATAAGACCTTATTTCACCAAAAATGTCACATTATTTCCTTTAACAGTAGCTGAGTCCTGAACTGTTTTCGGATACACAAATGATATTGGTCTTTTGCAGGAGCTTGTATGTAAGAAATGATTCTTGGAAGGAAATGGTTTATGGAAATGCTTCTTCAGAGCAGAATTCTCTCTTCGCTGGAATGTAAACAGAATGTGGAATCTTCTTCCAACGTAGCTCCGTAAGTCATTTGGTTAATCTTATTTTCAGTATTGTGGTAGAAGGGGGGTTACAATACTAACAAATATCCAGCTCTGTATTGAACTCTTAATGCTCATATTAACTTATATACTAATTATGTCTTCCAGCTAATCTAGAATATTTGGCTCTTCAGCAGATAAATTGAAGAACAGAGCCAGTATTTTGGAACAAATTTATTAACAAATACCACTTTCACAGTTTCAGTTACATTTATGGTGCCACATGGAAACATATCTTCTTTCTAGTTTCTTGCTAGCTTTCATCAGGCAGGCTTTTCCTTGATTTCAAACTGACTTTTTTTTTTTTTTTTTTTTTTTTTTTTTTGTGAACAAAGTACTGTTCAATGCCAAGAAGGGAGAAACAGGCACATGGAGCTTACTCCATAGATCGTTTTCTCATAAAAGAGATGTGCTATTTCACTGTGTACACATGCACTATACGGGGAAAAATCTGTTTTAAAAAAGTGGACAGGTGGCTCTTAATGAGTTAGACTTCAGTGGTTAGACTCAGAGGAAAATTCAGCATTTTTGATGAAACTAAATTTGGTTTCAGTGTCCCTTCTTGGAGAATACATTGTTGAGGTACTATGCTATCTTTATTGCCCTCCTGTTCACTATTTGCCTAATACCTGATTGTTCATTGTTCTTGTTCATTTCAAGTAAACTATTATATTGGATGATGTGCAGAAAAAAGAGGTGACTTTAAATAACTTTCATGTGTTCAACTTCTGTTGTTTCCTTGAAGTCTGAATTAGTGATGCTGTAGGTTAATTTTTGGCTAGAAACGACATTGGCCCTGTAGAGTAACAAGAGATGACAAAAACATAGCAGCTGTGAGACTTTAATCCTCCTTCTAGTTTACCTGTTGCAACAAAAATTGCAAGCTAGGATGTAGACCTGGGCTTTTATGCAAGCCATATTTTCCTGAAGGTGTATCTGTTACTTCTGTGTTTCTTGTTGTGTTTGCTAAGGCACTTTAGGAGACAATCAACACTGTACAGTTTGTGACATAATTGGGGCTGTTTTATGCTAGTTTTGATTTAGGGGGAATGCAGCCAAACTGAAAATGGGGAGGAAAAAAAGCTCTAAACAACTGAAATGGAAAAGTAGTTTGGTGAAGAAAACCCCAAACCTCACTTAACATTCACGTAACATGGCAGATGTGGGGTCAAATCATTTTTTCTCCCACAGTGTAGAACTCTTTCATGTTTTAAATGATGTGCCGGCAATAAAATATTTCAGAAGCATAAAAGCATTTAATCTTAGGATTTCTAACTTCCATCACTTTCAGTTTCACTTCAGATTTTTTTCTGCAAAAAAATGGTTCACCAAATAAATTGATGAATTCTAATATAGACGCATGTTAGTCTACGGGGGGACCAAAATAAGAGAAAAGACTAATGCGCAGAGTGGCGAGGCATGAAGAACCGTGTGTCTGCTTCAGAAACAGCAAAAGGACTAGAGCAGGATACGTGCTCAGGCCAGCAGAGCTTTTTCTTCCTTGCATTTTCTAAAATGTGCCTGGAAATGATATAATTAGAGTAGAATAAAACGCCTTATCTTTTCAAGTGTAACAAAGACAGAGTCTGCTGTAGCTGCTCTCTGCTTTTCTGAAAGGTTTGGGAAACCGAACGGTATCCACTTGCTTTGTAGCCTATCTATTGATAAGTATAGGTGGAATTTCTTGTTTATCTTTTTATTGCTATTGTACACTTATCTAACAGTTTCAATGACTTTTCCCAAAATAAACCTTTAATACTTTTCCTGATTATGTGACTGCCGGTTGTACTGCTTAACGCACATTCCCCACGCTAGCTCCTTGCTTTCACATTAAATTACTTTACAATTGTTTGTCCTGGCCCGATTTTGACATCTGCTGGATCAATTACCTGAATCATCAGAATCTTTTTGAAGCTCGGGGCATTGTTTTCTGTGTTTGTTTTTCTCCACACGTGGAAGACTTGAGGAATTTATGACCACTTACTTCATTTCTAAATTTACGCCGCCTTTCATTTAGCGGCGGGGAGGTAAAGCGGTTACCGAACAACGCTTGAAATTAGCGCAAGAGCTGAGTAACGTCCCAAGCCGCTTCAGTTCGGCTGCTTGGTTCTGGGCTTCAAAGATTCTGCTGGGACCGGGAACGCGAATTCTCCACCTGGCAGCACCCCGCGTGGCCGGGGGCAGCGCGGGGCGGGAAGGGCGCGGCGCGGCAAGGGGCGTGGCCTCCGCAGGCTCCGCCCCCGCGGGGCTCAGCCGGCCAATGGCGTGGGGCATGCGGGAGGGGGCGTGGCCCGCGGCGGGGCGGGGCGGGGCGGGGGCCGTGCTCCGTGGGCAGCGGGGCGGCGGCGCGAAGGGCCCGCGGCGGCCCGGCTGCTGCCTGCCTGCCTCGGCCGCCGCGCTCCGGTAAGGGCGAGGGTAAGGGTAAGGGTAAGGGCCGCGGGGGGAGGGAAGCAGAGGGGGCGGCTCTGGCCCTGGCGCTGGGCTGCAGCCGGGACGGGACGGGGCGGGGAGCGGCGGGGTGTGTGTGTGTGTGTGCTCCTCCAGGTCCAGCCCGTCAGCACCCAAGCACAAAGCCGAGCAGCCGGCCTGGGTTAAAGCCTGAAGTTCTCTCCCCTGGCCCCTGTGCGCAGCCCCTGGAGGCAGTGCCAGGGGAATCACAAAAACAGCTGCTCCCGCTGCCTTTCCCTTGATATTCCGAAATTGCAAGGAGAAATGAAGTAGAAATGATGGGAAAATAATTGCGGTGCGTTAGAATAATGCCTGTTGAAGCACATGGGGGGAGCGCTCAAAATATGAAAGGCTAACTAATGTTCCTTTAGTTAGTCTAACCTAAACCAGAAATATGCACGGCATCCCATTTCAACCAGCCAACTCAAATAGTAGTGACTTATTTTTCTCTAAAAGTGGTTGAATTTGGATTTCCAACTGGTTGGTATCTGCAGCCAGTGTTAACATTTTAATCTGACATGGTCCAATTTTTCTTTTTTTTTTTTTTTTTTTTTTTTTTTTCACCCTGTAGTGTAAATGCTGAGAATTTCTCCTGGTGTTGAGACAATAATAGCAGGCATTGTGAGACCTGCTGGAACCAAACCTGGCTCCACCACCTGGAGCTCGCTGCTTGGGAAAGAATGGCTTAACCTGATGTGGGTAGCATTCTGTTTTCCCAAAACTAAATGAATGCGGATGGGTTTTTTTTACTTATACCAATGTAACAGCCCCTAAATCTGAGTATTTTTATGGTGGAACTTCAAGGTGTGCTGAAGCAGAATAACACCCTTCAAGCTAACTGCACCAAGACTTGCAGATAAACTGTGGTACTACAATGTGTAAAATGGCTTCACTTTGCAATGTCTTTCCTTTGGTTGGCTTTCATATTAAACGATAGCAGGTTTAAAGGCCGTATAAATTCTTCCAGGATGTTTTCGTTTCTCAGAAGGTGATAGTCAAAGTCTCTTGTTCAGCACGATCTACGCAAAGAAAATCACCCTATCAGATCACGGCTGGCTATTATCTTAAGAGACAGGATGCTGCTGAATGCAGCTTGGTGGTTGATGCAAGCTGGGTTGTTGCTTGTGGTCCGTATCAGAAAGGTTTTTGCAATTGTTTTCGGTTGTAGTAACACTTCATGGTAAAGAAAGGGCAAGTGTAACACTTAATTCTTAAGGTTTCTGAAATAAGTACCTAAGGAACAGACTGTTT